CCTATTCCGAATACATTTTCAAACTAATCAAATGATGAAAGTTATTGTTGTTTTTTAAGCGTTTATTAGCGAGTGGGAAACTCCAACATGGCCGCCATCTATTCAAATGGGGGTAACCGTTGGACTATACTTGGCTTCAATTTTACTAAAAGAGATGCGCTATCTAGTGTATATAAGATATCTATGGTATATCCAGGCTGAGCAAAATAAAGCAATATGGTTGGCTAAGTTACTCATGAATTATTAATGAGTTTGAGATTAAGATTTCAAGGCCGGCCAAATATTATTAACTCTCTTAATTCCACTTGAATTAGTTTACTCAGTTTCAATTCCTTAGAGTACATTGTCATTGAAAAGAAAACTATAATAATGGCTTCAAATATTGAAAAGCTCACAAAGTTATGCCAAAGTTAGTATGTATCAATTTCAATAATATATAATAATATATACTATACCATCCATATATATGCATGCGTGTTTGAATCCTATCATATAAGGAGCCTAAATTCGACTATATATATATATATATATATATATGTACTATTACGCTCCTTCACTTCGGTGTTGTTGAGCACTCTGCGGAGTTGTTAATGGATAGCTATTAGCGATAATGCAAAGCTCACTTCCCTTGTGGTCGTTTGAGCACTCTGGCTCCATTACGCTCTGCGCATGCCTGGATGCGTTGAGTCACCGTGTTGTACCACATGCCTTGGTGAGAGCAAGTTCATGGGGTATTAATACGAGTGTCTCACGTATCTAGTCGTGTACCAAGCTGCACTGACGAGGCGTTGAACGCCGAAACATGCATGTCTGCAGATTGTACTATATATATATATATATATATATATATATATATATATATATATATATATATATATATATATATATATATATATATAATAGTATATTATATAAAAGCTTGCCGACCCTGCTTTCATTGCAGCTGCTATGTGTCAATCGTGATATAGTTATTAGAGCTATGTTACATTGTCTTTTCATTTTTTTTAATTCCACTGTTGAACTGTTTTCCATTTACTTCCAGTAACGCACTGTATATATTTTCGATTAATTAAACCGAGAATCTTATATTTAGCGTGCAAAAGCATGCATGCATGCAGTATGGTTACGTAGCAGCACGCGAAATAATGTCGAAATTACGATTTGATCAAAGAGCATATAGTTTAATCCTCATTAATTAAATTAAGAGACACAATTTTGTTTGCAATGTCAACTATAGTGACGTCTCTTTGATCACTTTCATGTTGCAAATTATTTTTTGTACTATAGACTGATTTCTACAACGAAAAATAAAGGTGTAACCCGAAACTATCGCGCAAAACATTGTTCTTGTATATATATAGACTAACTGTAAAGAAAATAGCAGTGGTAAATTATTTTACAAGGAGTGCATTTGATCATTGTTAGTAATCTAAAGTAGCTATAAATCCTATACATACAATGTTTCTTTGTATGGGAATATGTAAATCTATTTATTAGTTTTCAGATATATTTAACATTTTAGTATTTGCCTGTGGATCCAAAGCAGCACTTTCCTTGCGATAGCAACCCCTAGTAGCCTATAACAAATATTGTATACTTACAGTACTGCATGTATACTCAATGTCAATCCTATACGTCTGAAATTGTCTTTATCTCCACGGCACTTTACCGCGGCACTTTATGCATCTGTCAACGCATGCAATTCAGAACTAAATTAAAATATAAATGAAGGGTTCATGGATATTTTCAGTGCCATCTGGAAATATAATCAGTGCCATGATGAATCAACATATGTACTGTTTTACTACATCTGATGATAGTTTAATGGGCTAATAATAAGATAAATACGTTTTTGTAATTCTTCATTGATATCCGATGGCTCGTAAATGATTCCTGCAGATCAAACTATGAACATGTAGCTCCTGTTTCTTTACAGTTGACGTATCCTAAATGCGCCGATAATACGCAAGTTGTAATGAAATATTTGAACGTGCATGTATACAAGTCTCACAAATATTGTGAGACAAAGGGACCTTTCGCTGGGAGGGAGGGGGTGGGGAATATAATTTATTGAGGCCGGTGGTTCGAAAGCTGCTTAGCTTACCAGTGAGCTCCATGTATATCTGGAGCAAGAACTTCAGTCATTCGTTCTGTGAGAAAAGTGAAGCCAAGATGGCGGCCATTGGCGTCCATGCAACAGCTCTGAAGGTCGTAAACAGCTTTTGCACAACTTTTCCGGCTAATTCCAGTTTTTTCTAACGGACCGCATCGCCAACCAAGTTATCAGTTCATAAAACCACAGTGTTATTCGTTAAATCGATGTGAAAATACGAAATTTCGGCATACCGTACTTCTCACCAAGATGGTGGAAATTGAAGGAGCTATTGGACGTCAGTTCCGTTTCTTTCTATTGTAGTTGTCTGCACGGCTAACACGAAACTGGCTTACATGAGTAAATTGTTAAAGACGTCCGAATTTATTTATACGACAAATTTGCGACGCATGTTAAACCATAATCTAACCCCGACTCTAACCCTAATCTTAATCGATCTGATCCTAATCTAACCCTAATCTAAACTTGACGACATCTTTTTCAAATTCAGACTTCCACTACCGCTACGTCTCACAGGCTTAATACAGTACGCATTTGGTTGGTTACTCAGTGACGTTAATCGGATAGATTAAAGGCGTCTGATTTGTAACTGGTAACTGTAAAGATAGAGGGAGTCATAATCTAGATCTGAACCTCTCTATTATTTTGAACAGGGATTTTATCATTTTATATATAATTCTTTTCATCCAGTTTTACAACCGACAGACGAATATTCATTTTCACAACGCTCACCAGATTCGGAATTTACTTTTCACTCCCCATTTGATCACTAGTTTCTTCGCTTGTTCTGTGCCCAGTAAACTGATCATGCAGGTTTTGTAAAATTTGCCACTTCTTTCAGGGACGCAGCAGCCACAATCGAATGCACCGAACAACTGGAGGGCCCGGCCTCAATGGTTTGCATGGTCTCTCGGAAAGCATTTAGGGTCTGTGAAACACTATTTCATGCATTTTAGACACGTTTTTATAATAATTTGAAAGCCATGACAGATTTGGTATTTTTTTATTTTTTATGTCATGCATAGATGAAAGCCGTACGAGATTACGTCCCCCCCCCCGTTTTCCTCAGCCCATGCAGGAAGAATTACAAAATTGGTCCTGAAGCGAAGCACAAAAATAAACGAAAGTTAAATCGCCCACAAACTCACTTTCTGTGTTAACATTCAAATTTGATCGAATAAATGCGCAATCAGATCGAATGTTAGAACGCGCGAATAGCGTTTCCATATATATAGCTGACGAGATAATTGCATAGCAACGGAAAGGAATTTGAATTTGTGCCAATGAATGCAAGACAATGCAACTAAAGCCAACTGGCATTGAGAATTTTGTAATATTAATAGACAACTTGCATGTTAGACTAATATTTGATCTATAAGCAAAAAAGTAAATTCCCGTAAAGAACTTATTGAAATTAGTAAAATAGCAAAATTTGGTTACGAAATTTGTAAAATACGGAAAATATAGCCATATTTTGTATAATTATGTTTAACGTGCGGAAATTGTTACCATTTTTGAGCCGAAAATGGTAACAATTTCCGCACGTAATACAAATTTCATCTGACAAAATTTGCAAACTTTGCAAGACTATATATTTTCCAAGCTTTACAACATTTCGCAACCAAATTTTGCAATTCTAATAATTTCATTATGTTCTTGTGGTGTTTGATTCCCTTCTCTTTACTTAGATTAAAATTTAATCTAAAATGTAAGTTGTCCATTCAAATTTTACTAGTTTACCCACAGGGTAGTGAATGCTGCCTTGGTATAGGATTGTTCCCAAATCTTTAAATGAGATTTTTTGTATGTTACGTAACACGCGCTCAAAACTAATGCGTATAATATACCACATGAGATTATGACTAAAATCAAAATTTTTATTTTTCGATACGTTTCTCAATCGGTAAAAAAAACCCTTAAAAAGAATGTTTAGTGCTTTATCTGTAAAATAATGCTAAAATGAAGAGATTTTAGATGATAAGCCAAAGAGAAAATGACTGAAGTTCAGTACGTTTTGCTTAAATGGCTGTAAATATAGCCTCAATTTTAAGGCATCATTGATAATTGTATTTTAATTGGCAATTTTTAACTATTATTTTATGTTTCTCAACCGGCAGACGCATTTAAAAAGGTAGCTAACTCTATAAACTGTAGAGAATAAAGCAATTTTGAAGATTTTAGGTTTTGAACACTTTTCATTGCAAATATGTGACATTGAAAAAAAGTTGCCTCTTAATATTTTAAAGAATAAGAGTAAGAAATATTCGTAATGAATTGGAATCATCCATAATTTATACACTTGAATGTGCCGTATGATAACTCAGCGCTCGAAGTTTCGCATCGAAAGAGGAACAGCCGAACAGGTACGATGGCTAACAAGAATGAGTGTACTTATCAACTTATTTAACGCGAGGAAAAGATCAAATTGGCAGGTATGGCTGTGATATCTAGTATATAAAATTGTATAGACAATTTGCCCACAAATACGGTGCTAGGTCAAAACGGCCCAAAGTCAAAACGGCCCAAAGTCAAAACGGATCTGCTTCAATAATCATCATATGATTTAGACCAGGGGTTAAAGGGCAATGACGATGACATGCAGGTGACATTTAACATGTGCGAGTGTGCGTCTCACTAAATTTGCGTGTTTAATAATGTTTAGGGACCGGTCATAAAGTAGAGGGGGGGGGCTATGAAAATTGATTTTTTAAAGACTGGTTTACAGTGACCCACCCCCAAATTGTGACAATAAATTGAGGTGGCCCACCCCTAGATTAGAGCAGAAATCTTAGTGACCCCCCCCCCTCATGTAGATAATGTACTGTACGGTAATGTAGATAGGTGCGCGTACGTTGGCAGCATTGGCTTACCACGATTCTTTACTAGTTTAGTCAGAATCCCCGAAAAATCTCCGAGATTGAAATGTTGTAACACGCCGCACGACTCTTGAACATAATTCAACTTCTATATCATCATTCACCCTTTCGTCTTCAGTATCGTCTTCGCTGGAACTACCAATTTCTTGGAGAACTACATCATAGTCTTCGCTACTGCCGTCACAATCTTTGTTATCACTGCCAATGTTGTAATCATCATCTTCATCGTCTGCATGGCCACTATCATCGTCATCGTCGTCGTCATCATCTTCCGTCTCCTCGTCATCATCATGGAAATCAACATTTTCTTCCTTCTGCATTAACCTTTCTTGCCGTTTGCTCACCGATTGATTTGTCAAGTTGGGCCTTGGCCAAACATGCTGAAATTATTACTAGCATTTCTTTTTTCGTCATTTTCTTTTTTCCCAATTGGTGCTTTTCCAGAAAGAGATTTAAAGCTGGGACTTTTAACTTTTTCAGTTTTCCTGCGATGAACAATTCCTCCCATTTGTAATCACCGTATTTCTTTTGGGCCTAGGTTTCTCTCTGTCGTTTTCTTTCATCTTTTCGTTTTGATTTCTTCACTGCAAGGTATTGAAGGTGCTCAAGGTACTTTCGCACGTACGTTTCCGGAACAGCAAATGTTTTTGAAAACTCAACAATCGACTCACTGTCATCCAGTGCTAGCTTTCCTTCTTCGACATGCCTTTTAATCTGAGCCCTTGGTTGGTAATCATCGATCTCTCTTGGGCGTCCTTCTGGTGAAGTGCTTGGAGTTTGGTCAAATGGTAAATATTTCAGATCCGGTAGATTCGTTTCGTCAGGCATTGGACGTGGTACATGGTGCAATGAATCTTTGGAAGGGAGAAATTTAGTGCAGAACTCATACAAGACTCCGCTATTTTGTTGGCAATCGCCTTTCATATATTCTAGATATAGTTCTCCAACCTGGACGTGCTGTTCAATGAAGGCATCGATTTTCTTAAAGTATGCATAGCCTGGTACACCTTTTTGTTTAGATTCTGCTGTTGATACAAACTGCTTGAACTGCTCGGTATTGAAAAAGAACTGGTCTTCCTTTCGAGGTGTGACGAAGGCTTGAATAAAGTCTCCACCTGGACCTGGCTCACCTTGTATTCGTTCAGTCACATCTTTCGCAACACGCCAGGCATTCCGTTCCATTGCATTTTCTTCAAGTTTGTTTATGTCATCAATGGAGAGTTGTTTAATCTCATCGTTCTCCAGCTCATCCAGTGCTTCATAGTACTTCCATTTTAAAGCTTCTCCGTCAACAATAGCTTCGCCAATGCAGGCATTGGATCGCTCAGCTTCGTTCTGCCCACTGTCATCGCGAGCCCTGTGAATTCGGTTTAAGCAATCAAAATTAAGAATTCGTGCAACCTCTGCGTCTCTAAATTTGACTTCAATATTGCTACAACCAAAGAGGAACCCTTAAAGCCAACTGACCGTCAAACAATTAATTACAAGATTAAAAGACTGCAAGAACTGAAAGAGAAATCTGAAAACCTAAAGAGTATTATCCAGAAAGAGGATGCCCAGCGGTTTAGTAAGTCTGAGAAAATTATATCTGGGCAAGAGTGTGGGCACCAATTCAATGAAAAATATTTGGGAGTGATTGCAGAATTGCAAACTAACATTAGCCAGACTTTGCTGAGGGTGGAGGCTGAGAAAGAAAAACACAGAAGGATGTATCCATTTGCACAGGAATCATTTGTATCGAAAAAGAGAAGGGTGAAAGAAAATAAAGCTAAGTCTAAGAAGCGCCGCCTTGAAAGAGCATAGACAAACTGTAAAAGAGTGTTTTCTGTTGTTACTCAATCATTCTCTTATGGCGATGTGAGTGACTCAGATCACTATAATATGATTGGCCTTCGTAGCTTAAAAATAAGAGATGGTCACTGGTTAAAACAATTGATTAGTGAAGCTAAATTCACACTGGAAGCAATCGAAATAATAAAAGAAACTGTGTCACCTGCAGTATTAAGTAATATAGATGAGAGTGGTGATGATGATAGTGCTGCTGCTGATGATGATGATGATGACGATGATGCTATAAATCATGTTGATGGTAATAGTGAAGATGACAACCATTATCATTAGATGAAAAAGATACAGTACATTGATTGAGTTTATGTTGTGTGAACTTTAAAAACTATGTACCTAGATGAGATGGTATGGTATAATGCATGACAGTACATTGAGTAGACTACGGTAGCTAGAACACTTCCCAATGTATACAAATGTGAATTCCTGTTGTTTAATATATAAAGTTAATAGGTTAAAGAGATTTCGCAAAAGTTTTTATTTGCTATTTATTAAATTGTGAGACGTGAATAATTTTACCTGACCCACCCCTAATGCAGTGCATAAATTTTCCTGACCCACCCTTTTCGACGTGTTGAAAAATAGTGACCCCCCCCCAATTTTTCA